TTAGTTTTTCATTCTGTTGTACTAATTAAGGACACAATTACTTCAGTCGAACTTCAGGTGTATGTACACCTCAGAATGAATAAGTAGCTCTTGAATTTTAGATATTCTGCAGCACTCGATATTATTTATAGTAGTATCCTTTTGTAATACTGGTGATTCTTTCAAGTTTCTAGGAGTTGAAAGATTGGTGCAATTGATAGTATTTTAATGTGGAACGGTATCCAGTTCACAACATTATAATGTGTGGATGTATAATCACAGTTGTTGCATTTCTTGTTGGTTTCTGGTGCAGCCAATGGTTGTCGGAAATGCTGGTCTTTCATGAGCCATCCTCGTTATGGATTTCATGCGGGTTTTGATGCCTCGTAATATCTTTCTTATGTCTTCTGATTTATTTTAACTTGTGATGATTGATGAATGAAAAAAAAAAAAGAAAAACTGATACTATGTTTTCGTGATGCAGCACGGCCAGTGATCCTAAGAAATTGTTGGAAGACGATGCTGTCAAATTGTCACAACTTGCACTACAGGACTACAACGAGACACATGTTATTTCTCTCCTCTTTATGTTTTGCTTTTCACTGCATCTGGTCATTCATCTCTCCTTCCTCATCTTTACTGAACAAGTAAAAAGCAGAGAACAAACTTGAAGTTTGAAAAGGCTTTGGGAGGCAATAGTTTTACTTGTACTGGGATTTCAATGGACTTTGCCGAGAAGAGTACACGTTGGGTGCATGTGAACTTTGAGGCAAGGGTGGGTTTTCGTCACAGGGAACAATTGCACCGCATGTTTGCCGAACTCTACTATGTGGAGAATGATGATAAATACGTGATTGCTACATTGTTACCCGCCGAGCCTGAAGAGCAGCCAGAGCCAGACACTATTGACCCGTGGACAGATGGTTACCCAGGTTAGATTTACATCACAACATTATTATTATTATTATTATTATTATTATTATTATTATTATTATTATTATTATTAACATTTTTTTATTTAAAATTTATTGGGTTTTACGTACTATAGAGAGTGAATGCGCCATCTGCCCAGGCGAGATTCGCCATCCATGGCGTGCTTATCGTTTTGGTTTCAACTATCCACCGAGGATTATACCACGAGAAGATCCATTTTACCTTCTGTAATACAATGCATCCAACTGCTCTTTATGGTCGCTCGAGTTAATGTATAGTTTTTTATAATCCTTGTATGGTGCTATACCACCTGACCGAACCTTAATCCGTTGAACTCTTTGTTTTCTGTTAATCTCAAGGAATATTTTATTATATGCCTTCATATCCTTCAAGTTGAACTGATTTGTGTCTAGCTAGCTTTATGATTAAAGGCCTTGGATTGTGCCCACAATAGTAGTCAATTAAGTGTACATGTACAAATACATATAAAATTTCTCGATTTTGGATGTGTTCCGTAACCCTATACACGCAAAGCTAGAGCTAGATATAAGAGAATCTGTTTAGAGTAGAATTCGTATCTGCGAGAAGTTTTCGTATATTCAAGAATTGAATATCCAAATCCAACATCGCATATTTTATGTTATGCGACATGCTTTTGCATAGTTTAGGACTCACATATCTAAATCCATCGCTTAATTTACCATATGCTCAATATGACTTCGAGAAGGGGCCCTAAAGGGGAGGGCCCCAAATTCAACATTTTGCATGAGTATTTCTACTCAAGGAAAGAGCGGGATACTTAGCTGAAAGGGTGGACATGGTCGAGCGCGTTCAAACGTTGCTCCAGCAGAGGAATTTTTTCACCGAAACTTCAGAAAGGATGAAGGATAACGTTTTGCATATTCAATAACCGCTTATGCATAATGATTATGCGACAAATATTCGCATAGTTTACGACTCGCATATCCAGCTCTATAATGTCGTAAAATTAACGATTATGCGTAATATTTTTGCATATTTAATAATCGCACATACAAATCGAAAGCCGCACAATTTAGTACTCTCCGCCATTTTATTCGCATTGACTATTTGATTTTTCACATTAAAGACTTAGACAAATGACATGTCTATATACCACCATTACTACTACTCATTAATTGCTAACATTTACTTCTCAAAACCCAAAAAACACTAGCAAGAGTAAAATCCTTTATATTCTGATCGCAACCACAAAAGAAAAAAAAAAAAAAAAAAAAAAAATTCAGGGATTTGGAAAAACTAAGCACGTTTGCGAAAAAAATGGATAGGATTCCACGCAATAAGCTGATCGCAATCCGCTTCTGTGGCGTGGAGTGGACCGAGGGTTAAGAACATGCTTGCTACCAAGTGTTTTTCAAGAAGTGTCGTGAGATGACAGACATACACCGAGATCCTGTATTCAATTCTTTGTGGCCAGAAATTGCACATTCTCTGAACCGCATGCTGAGTTATGCCTTGAAGGAATATTCTATCGCCCAAGTACGGGGAAAGATTAAACGGCTCATAAAATATTTTGATGAATATTCAAGTTTTCTGTTGATTCCAAGAGTCCGAGTGAGTAGTGATGCTGGTCGTGATAGTGTTAACCACATATACTGGTTGTATGTGGATTAGGTAAAATGAATTTTTTATTTTAGTTTGTTCATGCATTTTACGATGCGTTCATAACCCTGAAAAGTTTCAAATTTAATACTCAGGAATAGACAAACTCTCAGGCATTTTTCTGTTGGTATGGATTCCCATAGTATCATGAGTGTTACAAGGTTTTTACCAAGTGCACCGCAGCGGTGATCGACTTGGAGGGTTGGCTTGGTGCTTCGGTTGACGATCTAATATGGGGGGAAGGCATAGACGATAATGGCACTGACGATGACAGTGATGATCAGACTCATCCGCCACCACTGCAGGTTGAAGTTATCGATCTCGACCCTGAGAATCCACTGAAATAAATTAAAAAACAACTTGTAAACCAATTTACATTGGTTGTCTTGTTTTGTTGGAATTTGGGGACTGCATCAATAACGGATTTTCTTTGTTCTGTCCAATATGTTAATCAAGATTCATGTGTTAATAAAATATTTTGCGTGGATAATGAACCATTAATGTCTGGCAACATAGATTTTTCCAGCAAAATTAGCGACAATGAAAATTTTAGTTAAAAGGAATTTCTAAGAACTCCGAGACAAGTGTGATATATCGTATAGTGTATAATGAAAATAAATAAATAAAAGTAAACAATAATACAAACAGTTAACAAGATGCGGGTTATAACAGAATGAAAAAAAAAAAAATCAATATAAATAAACGATATTTATAATCACATATCTATCAAATGCATATTTTATCAATATGCAAACATGTTTCGAATGTTATCCGCATAATACGAACCTCATTTTCTGACTGCTTTTTTTCACGTAAGTTTACACACGCAAGATGTGGAACTTTTTTGTTTGAACTTATCGGTCGTCACTTCAAGCAAGATGTAGAACTTTTTTCTTCATGCCTAAATTTACTACCATTATTTCTTTCTTTTTGTTCAAAGTTAATAAATCTATTGCATGTATTTTTTTCGTTTTAATTCTTTTTGTGTTGAACTTATTTAGATCTTATTTTTCTTTATTTTATTACACTTCAATGGCGATATCATAGAGCTGTTTCAAAACTAAAACTAAAGTACTCCAAAAAGATTTTAGATTCTAAATTCTTTTTTCTCTGGATTATGGGAAGACAATGCGTAATTGTATATTGTTCAAAGTTCTGCTTAATATAATTTATTTTTTGTTTCAATTATGCGGGGCTACGCGAGTAATTGCATACAATACGCACTTCTGAGTTCAATTTTATCGATCTCCAAATTATATAATATCAACAGTTCTTAAGAAAGATAAAGCATTATAATAATTTAATTACACATTTCCAATAAGATAGATCTAATTATTAAATCGACTCAACTACTTTAAGAAGACTAACATCAGCACAAACATTCAACACTTCCAAAAGTTTACAAGATGCTATATTCCGTAAATATCTATATATTTTTTTTTTTTTCTCAAAACGATAGATATGAATAAAATTCAACCAAATTTACAGAGTTCGAGAGGCCAAATGACCAATACAAATAAGGAGTTCCATGGAGGAACTAATTAATACTAAACCTAGATAAGTAACTACAAGGCAGTAAATTTACTGAAACCTCTAGTTAACCTATCTACGCCAATACAAATACAAGGCAGTAAATATCTATATATAAATTGAAGAAAGTTTGAAAAGTAAAAAGAGATATCCTATTTTGTAAGCACCCTCTACTTATCTTTAGGAAAGCACTGATTTTCCATGATAAGTTCGATTAGGATAACACTGATTTTACCATAATAATTTCGAACTTTTTCGAAAATAATTTAACTTAAAAAAATAAAAAAAAATAAAAAAAATCTCATAGGGTACTTAATTAAAGTTCATGATTTAAATTAGATAATATTTTTTTTGGGACATAAAGGTCATTTGAGATCAAGGATAAATTTATCACACCCCAATGGCCGGATTTTTTTTATCCCGCCAACAAGGATACATGCGCGCGCCAACTCATGCCACGTCATTTGTATCCTTATCCCAATCCTATTTAGTAAACGAGGGATAATGTTGGTTAACCAACCTTATCTCATCCTTTCAAGACTAGTAAACGAGGCCCTAGTGTACATGCACAAATACATATAAAGTTTCTCGGATTTGGATGTATTCTGTAACTCTATACACGCAAAGATCGAGCTAGATATAGGAGAATCTCTTTAGAGTAGAATTTGTATATGCTTTCATTATCCTTCAAGTTTGTCAACATCTTTATGATTAAAGGCCTTGGATTGTGCCCACACAAGTAGTAATCAATCCAGTGTACATGCACAAATACATATAAAATTTCTCGGATTTGGATGTGTTCTCTAACCCTATACTCGCAAAGCTAGAAATCGATATAGGAGAATCTCTTTAGAGTAGAATTCGTATATGACTTCATTATCCTTCAAGTTTAACTGTTTTGTGTCTAGCTTTATGGTTAAAGGCCTTGGATTATGCCCACCCTAGTAGTCAATTGTGCTCACTCAATTAGTCAATCTAGTGTACATACACAAATATAAATAAAATATTATATATTATTTTATCCATATAATTTTCAAAACTTAAAATTGAATAACGTATATATGGATATCTATTTATGACACAAATTTTAATACATAGTATAACTTATAAATTTGAAAGATCGTAACCAACTAATTGACTAGAAGTTGTTGATGTTCTTGGAAGTAAGGTCGCAACTTCTGAGCCGCAGTTACAAGAGCATAAGCTAATTTTTCCATAGATGGATATCGTAGCTCGGCTTCATGTAGCGCTTTGCTGATATAATAAATTGGATATTGTTGAGGTCCTTCTTCTCGGATAAGGACGGCGCTGATAGCGGTTTCACTTACTCCTAGATACAGGTACAACATTTCTTCAGGTATCGGTTTCTACAAAGTCGGTGGTTGCAGAAGTGTTTCTTTAATCTTGACCAAAGCTTGTTGACACTCCTTGGTCCACTCAAAATGTTTCCCTTTCTTTATGGATTCAAAGAAAGGTTTGCAACGATCTGTCGATTTTAAAATGAATGTATTCAAAGCAGCGAGTCGGCCGGTCAGAGCCTGAACACCTTTTACCTACGTGGGAGGTGTTAAGTCCAGAATGGCCTTTATCTTCAGCGGATTAGCCTCAATACCGCGTTGTGTTACAATATATCCCAAGAATTTACCAGAACCAACTCCGAAAGTGCACTTTTTCGGATTTAACACCATGGAATAGTCTCTGAGGATATTAAACATTTTTTGTAAATGAACGACATGATCAGCAGCATGAATCGACTTAACTAACATGTCGTCGACATAGACTTCCATGGTATGCCCGATGAGCTTGGCGAACATTTTGTTAACTAGCCCTTGATATGTGGCCCCAGCGTTCTTGAGACCGAATGGCATCATTGTATAACAATACAGACCTCGGGCAGAATAAAAAGATGTATGCTCTGCTTCTCCGGTATCCATTGGGATTTGGTTATAACCCGAATATGCATCCATGAAACTCATCAATTCATGTCCGGAGGTGGCGTCCACCATGTAATCAATGTGCGGTAGTGGATAGCTATCTTTTGGACATGCTTTATTCAAGTCGGAGAAATCAATACAAAGTCGCGTGCCCAGGGATTCCAAACCGAATTGGCATAGTTATCTCTCCAAGAGTAGGCGTGATTGTTCCGTTGAAGCCTTGTACTTGATCTTTACAAGGTTTTAGCTCGGCGGGATCGATTCCCATTTGTTCAAATGTGCGGAGCATCAAAATACTTGAATATGCACCTGTATCAACCATTATTCGATGTACAGGTATTCCGCAGATTGGCGCCGT